CACTTTTGTTGCTTTTTTGTTAAATTTAAATTTTAAATAAGAGCTAACATAGAGACGATGCAATAACAAGATTTTTTTTGGAACTAAGGCTTTGTTGTTGTGCTTGACTGCTTGTGCAAGTATGCACTTTTCCTTTTTTATCACCAATATAGAATTGCTCCTGCATCATGCTTTCCCACATAGTAATATTAGTCACCTAACATAAATATAGATTTTAGGTGCTTTTCAGCACAATCAGGACACATGTTTCACATCTATATATTGTTCATGCTGCTTGGTTTGAAACTATGAACACTAGCCTAAATGCTGTCTATGAAGCTATCTTCAAGACTAGAACATGGATTTCACTTGCATGCTAAATTGCGGAGAACTGCATCTTGATTCCATTTAGGTCCAGTGAAATATGTTGTCCCTTGACCTCTTTTAGATTTTGCTATGAAGATGACTGTCCGAAAGATGATCCATTGTCTCAGGAAAGTTTCCGTAAATTGGCAGTATCACTTCCATTCTCGAAGCAGCAACACTCAAAAATTGTCTGCTACATAACAAAAGAATTGATGGATACTGAAAATCCGCCTATGGTCTTACCAAATGGCTATGTCTACAGCACTAAGGTTTGTGTAGTGTCCATAAGTGGATTGATTATTCTTTAAGCTATCTTTTTTCTCAGAATTTTCTTTTTCCCTTTCTGTAACCATAGTCCATTTTATTGATTGTGCTTTGGCAGGCTCTCGAGGATATGGCTCGTAGGAATAATGGTAAAATTACTTGCCCAAGGACAGGTGTGGTCTGCAACTATTCTGATCTTGCCAAGGCATTCATCTCATAGAATCATACCTTGAACAACTATGTAAAAAGACTGTCAACAAGAATAGATTTTTCTTTTCTCTTTTTTTGGCTGTGACCCGTTGGAGGATTGGCAGCTACCCACATGTACATATCAAAAGGGCAATTTGAACAATTTGTTATTTTCTTTGCTGATGTTGTTATTCTTGTTTATCAGTCTGTGAATGTTTTTATAAGCAGTAGATTGCTCCGTGGCTATAAAATCGAGTTTTCAGCTGCCTCAAAGATAATCAACCAGTTATGTCGCAATAAAAGCAGTTGTGGACGTCTGTATATTTTTAATGGCTTCTCCACTGCATTTGCCGCGATGAAGGATGTTGATGGTTTTTAAGATAGCTTTTACTCTGATCAGGTTTGCTACAACCACTTCAACAGTACATGTTTGATCAAAAGATAATGAAACCTTTTATTTTTACTGTATACTCCGTACAAGAGATCGTGAAGCGTATTTTACTGCACATTACTTCCCTAATCACAAGATAAGAGAGCACCCCTTATCCTTAAGTTACGGGATCACTTGTGGTTTCCAAAAGGCCCTGCTTTTTTTTGTAGCGAAGCCTATGAGATAGATGATCGCACGCTAATACACTAATTATATAATGAGATCAGGTTAACTTTTAAAGGGACGAATGTTACGCATGTAGAAATGCATAACAAGGGGTATCATGTAATTATACATATGTGTACAAACGAATGTATATTTTGGTATCATTGGATGATCAAATGGTACCACTGAATAAACAGTGATACTGTATATGCACGCAATGGTATTATTTATTCATTCATTTGTACTAAATTTATGCATAAATAGTATCACTGAGGATTTAATGGTACTATATAAATTTTTAGTGGAACAATCAGCATGTGGTCCCCCATCACGTGATACAATCCGACTAAAATGTAGGTGGGGTCTATGTACAGACCTCTCTCTTCCTATCTCTCTCTACCATGTGTTTTTAAAATATTTTAATCAATGTTATGTATTTACAAATGCATAACATTCCTCCATTTGTATTTCCTCTAACTTTTAAAGCTTCATAGTGAATCCAGTGAGGAGCATATTTTCATCCTCTGTCCATAATTACGTGGAATTTTAAATGGAGGAAAGTTAGGCATTTGTAAATGCATAACATTGATAAAAATATTATTAAAACACATGATAGAAAGAGAAAAGAGGAGAGAGATAGGAAGATAGAGGTCTGTAGATGGACCTCACCTATTCTTTGGTCAGATTGTATCACGTGATGGGGGACCACATGTTGATTGTTCCACTGAAAGTTTATATGGTACCATTGAATCTTTTGTGGTACTATTTATGCATAAATTTTGTACAACTAAATGCATATTTAATACCATTATGTACATATATAGTATCACTGGATATTCAGTGGTACCATTTGATCATCCAATGATACCAGAATATGTATTCGTTTGTACATATGTATAATTACATGAATATCCCTTGTTATGCATTTGTAAATGCCTAACTTTCTTCCATTTCTAGTTCCTCCATAATATACTTCGTATGATGAAAGTTGGTAGTCCAGTTGTGAAATTCATTGTTTCATGTTTCCCTATTAAGTCTCCTTGGTTCATGTGTTGATGAGGATTTGACAAAAATCCAACACTGTTCAACAAGACTACAAGAGCATAGTAGCATATCCCGTGCCAATATATTTAACGCAAAAGAATTCAAGACAAAGTGAAATGTTAGTAGTATTGAATTCCCTTGAAAAAATCCAAAAATTAAAAAAAAATCAGTAGAATGTGTAGTTTTTGTCTTTGTTAAAAACAAATATATTGAAATCCATAAAATTTGAGTATGGGGGATTTGAAAGATTGTGGTTAAATGTAGTAAAAATGAGACTTAAATTATATACTATCTCCGTTAAGTTTTATTTGCAACTTTGAGGTGTAACACGGATCCCAAGTCAAAATTTCATAATGGTGATTATGGAATGAAAGGGTTTGTGATTAAGGAGGAGAGAGATAAATTAAACATGATTAGTAAACTACCCAAGCCACTCACTAGGTGACCAGGCCACCACCACCGACACCACTGAAACCAGACCAGTCACCACCACCGACACCCACCCAAACCCGGACCACCAATACCACCAAAACTTCCAAACCCAGGCCACCACAACCACCGACACTGTCGAAACTCCCAACCCAGACCACCACAAACACCGACACCGCCGAAACACCCTAAACTCGGCCTAGACTACCGATCGACACCCGACACCATCAACACCACCCACAAAACCCACAAAAATCAATGAAACCACCCATAAACCCACCTAAATCTAGACCACTAACCAACACCGACACCATCAACGCCACCCACAAAACCCACTGAAACCACCAACAAGATCCACGAAAATCACTAAAATCACCCATCAACCCACCCAAAATTATCGAAACCACCCACAAACCCACCAAAAATCACCGATCGCCCACAAATCCACTAAAACCTTTGAACCTAAAAAACCTACAAACCCACGAAAATCATCCAATCCATGAAATATACTTGTGTATTGCTTCCTTACTTCTTGCCGCAAAACCACCATAGCCCGACAACGTTGTTACTAGTGCTTGCCGAAGTCGAAATCAATGGAGGTTGTGATTGAGAGGAGAGAGAAAAAGCCAAATTGGGATTTGTTAGATCCAGATTAAGTTGTTGATGTAATGCAATTAATTATTTAAGTGAATGTTTAATTTTTAAAATAAGGGCAATATTGACATTTCTAGCCAAAAAAACTTACTAAAAAGGAAAAGATTTTGGAAAGTTGCAAATAATACTAAGGGGCCGTTTGGTTGACAGAAGGGAATCGGAATGGAATGAACAAAGGGAATGAAATGGAATGGAATGGCAAAGTGGAAAATTTGGAAGGTTGTTTGTTACAAAAACCAGGGAATCATTCCCTCCACCACAGCACCACCACCACAGCGCAGCTCCGACCGCCGCCGAACCCTCACAGACCTCCGCCGACCCATCCCCGACCGTCGACGACCGTCGCCGACCATCCAGCCCCCATCGCCGACCGTCAAACTCCCTCCCCGATGCTCCAGCCCCCTCCCCGATGCTCGAACTCCCTCGCCGACAGTCGCGCCCCCTCGCCGACGGTCGCTGACCCCTCGCCGACCCTCCAGCCCCCCTCGCCGACGGTCGCTGACCACCACCGACCACAACACCACCTCGAACTCCCTCCCCGATGCTCCAGCCCCCCTCCCCAACGCTCGATCTCCCTCCTCCACCACAGCACCACATCGTCGACCACTCCCCGGTGCTCGCCGAGCCTCCCCGACCACTCCCCGGTGCTCGCCGACAGTCGCCGTCCGACCACCACCGACGTATATGGGTGTTAGTGTTAGGGTTAGGGTTAGGGTTAGGGTGGGTGGGGAATGGAATGGGAAAGTGGGGGGGGGGGGTGGGGAATGGGGAAGAGGGGTTTTGGGGTATTTTGAAAAATGAAATGGGGGAATGATTGAGGGAAAAAGTGGCAAACAAACAGGTTGAAAGGGAATGATTCCCATTCCCTTTCCTGAAACCAGCGAACCAAACGCACCCTAAGTATCCAAATATAGTAAAAGTTGCAAATAAAACCTAACGGAGGTAGTAGAAGATTATGGCAATATGTTTAGCAGCAATAGACCACTTACGAAGTTTCGAGTTTGTTTTACGTCAGCACCTCAAGATAATAATATTCCCGAAAGAAAAAAAAGTAGTTGCGCCAGGAGGCAAAAAGTTGCAAATCAATATGATTTTTGGTAAACTGAAGTTCAGATTGGATGAGAAATTTAAAAATTGATTTTATTACATTCAATGAGATCCATAATACTACCTCCGCTACAAGTTATGTGCAACGATTTGACATAAAGCAGAGAAGAAAAATGTCTAATCGTTGTACATAACCTGTAACTGAGGTAGTAAAAAGAACAAGGATGAATGGTTACCAAACAAAAAAAATAATTTACTACTTCCATTTCAAATTATTCTCGCAAATAATTTGAAACAAAGGTAATAGATATTATACTAATATACAAGGAGGTAATACAATTTGTGCAGACTATTAAACATTACAGTAATAGACAATACAGGAGAAAGTATAGACCACTACGAGGTATGGACTCTCATGTCCAATACCTGAATTAAAATATTATATTTTTCATTTTTTAAAGGGAAATGAATTTTGCAAAAGGTAATTGGAGTGACAGCTGGGTAAAACATTTCACCCACTAAAAAGCGTTTCCCAAATAGCGTTTTGGAGGGTTTAGCTTAGAGCTTTTTCAGAGGTTTCAAATAGCGTTTTCCGGTGGTATTGGAGCATGAAAGAGCTAAAAATCAGTTCAATTTCAGGTAATAGCTTCTGGGTTAAGCTTGAAATTTCTCCATAGCAAATCTTTGTGTTAATTTCAGTAAATGTCAATGTAGATCTACAATTTCTAGGGTTTATCTTTGTGCTTTTCATCGAAGTTTTTCCATTCTACAGTTGAATTTGGTGTTGTTACTCTGTAGAAAATTGATGAAAACTTGGAGGAAATGTTGACGAATCGCCCCAAGTAATAGAAGCTGATGAAAGCTTAGAGGAGGAAGAACCTGATGTATGTTGACTTTGCTTTAAGTTTGTTCATTCATGCCATCAACATTTTATACTTTTATCCAAATTTAATGGTAATTAACTTAATTTTTATGAATTGAGAAAGTAAGATCAGCCAAATATTGGGATGAATGTGTTGTTTTTGTACAGCTTCGGATGGTTGGTTTTGATTACATTAATTCTTCCAGAATGTTATAATACTACGGTACTACCAGAATGATATTTTCTACCAGATTCATATATTGCTTATAATCGAATGTTGGGATTAATCTGAGTGTTGGTGTTGGTTGTTTGGTGATGATTACTATTTTTTTTTTTTTGTTTCTTTTGATAGCAGTAGAATGGAGAAACTACTCCCTCACTCTATTACAATTAATACTATTGCAATTAAAACTTCAATGAAACATTAGAAGCTCCTCTTTTACGTCTTGTATAAGATTTCTCCCATCCTAAATCCCCATAAGATCTCCTTGCAGCCACCTTTGCACATGCCTTTCTTGAAAGTGGATCTGAAATTAAGCAACTTTCTGCTCTTAATCTGTTGTAAGCTATGCAGCCGCGTTTTGAGCATGTTTAGCTCCCTTCTTCCACGAATCTGCCTGATTTTTCCTTCTGTACTCCCCTCTCCTTCCTTGCTCAGAACCCAGCTGCCCCATATTTCTTTACCCTTCACACTGCAGGCCTTAACTCTCAGTTGCGCTTTGCTGCACTCCTCCCTGCCAGCTGCCCCATATATCTATAACTCTTCCAATTCAACTTCCTATGTATATCAACTGTGAATTTGAATCTAATTATATTTGGCTTTAGCATGACATACAATGCTATAGTCTAGTATGATACTGGAATATGAAGAATATGACTACTAGAATACGATGCAGCAGATGATCAATGACCACTTAATTTGTTCCCAACATAAGATCATGTAGTGGCCTAGTGGGTGTAGTTACATGTCATTATAATTTGGAGAATAATGCTGAATTATAATTGGATAATTAATAAAGATCTTGGTTATATGTTGGTGGGGTAGATTGATTTGGTTAATAAACTGTATAAATGTTCACATAATCACATAGTGAACGGAAAATGCACCTGTAATTGTTCTAAATCTCTAATTAGTTGTTGATGTTGAGACTTGCAAATTGATTATGATATGTTGGAATGTGTTACAAAATCTGGTTGTCTTGCTTAAACTTTAGATTTAAATGCATAGTATACATGTAATCTGGCTTGTCTTGCCTAAACTCTAGATTTGATTGCATATTCTAAACGTAATCTGGCTTGTCTTGCCTAAACTCTAGAGGCCCTCATGTGATACATAGGAATGAGAGGTTTCAGAATTGTTTGGACGCCTTTGGTACACCTGTAGGGGAAGGTTGGAGTGTTGAAAATGGAAGAAGGGAAGCAGGAGGAGGTTGTGAACCGTCTGGAAGCGGGTATGGTATCCTCAAGCTAGGTTGAGGCTGACAAATACTTTAGGCAGTATGGGAAGCAACTTTGTGTTAGAGTCTTTGTTGCTGCTGGAAATTCTAAAATAGAGGAGGGTAGGCTGACAAATACTTTAGGCAATTTGGAACCGTCCGGAAGTTCATACTGATATTTTTGTAAACTGCTGTCCTTGAAGTATATACTGTCATGTTAAATACAAATATAGTTATATTTAGAGGAACACGATATTTAAGGAATTATACTACACTTTTTATTCTTTTATTTTACATGAATAATTTTATTTGTAATTACATCAATCCATACTACGTATTTGCCATTTATCTTGTTAAAGGTATATCTTTTTAAAGTTCGTCATGTGAATGACATGAATTTAATTTTGTAGATATGCCTTCACATCTCTTTTAGGGACTTTCAAATAAATTAAAATATTCTAACATAAAAATGGTACTAGTATTAGATTACTTTTTTTTTTTTTTTTATTTTTTTTTCAAATGGTACTCCGTATTAGATTACTTATGGAAGTATAAATTTTGTATGTGGCTAGCAATACGATGTAGCCACATTAGTTTTTAAGAGTAATCTTAATTTAATTATATGTATGAGAAACCTTATTTTCTCATAAGAGTAATTCATGTTGTCCATAAATGTCATCTAAATTCATTATACGAGTAAAATCTAGTAATTTAAATATAAATAATTCCATTTGTTCATTCGGGTGACCTTTATTATTTCAATTTTAAAAATAATAAAATAATTTTACTTATTTAAGAGAGTAACCCCTTTTTCAATATAAGTAACCTATGTATATCAGTATATGTTTAGGTAATCCATTTGCTTATCATTGTGACCCCTATTATTACTTAATTAACTGTCTTATATCTTATTATGTAAAGTGGTTACACCATGTGGCTAGTTACATATACGTAATGCATCTTACATTAAACCAGAATCTCAATAGTTGATAACCGTATTTATCATATAATAACTGTATATCATATTAAAAGAACGGTTTTACGGAGTACATAACAATATTTTTTTTGAGAAAAGGATATAACAATATATATGGGTATATAATAGACCTTTTTTTGACTTGTGCATCAGGTTGCTACTTTAATTTAACTCTGTGATTATATGTATTTAATATATTTTTATTTTGGTAAGGAGGAGGGCCCTACCGAGCCGGAACCTCTCACAGGTCCTCTCGTCTCGGGATAGCGGGCGAGACAGTTTGGAAGAGTGGGGGGAAGATAAGGGAATTTCACTCTCTCAAACTGTCACTAATAAGGATTGAACTCCCAACCTCATGATTCGAAGGTACTCTCTTTTCCACTAGACAGACCAAGCTTGGATTAGTGTTGACATTACACACTGTTATTGCAATTCATATACTATTATTGAAATTCATATACTGTTATACAAATTTTTGACACGATTATTGTGTTCATATATACTCCTCCTTCGTTTTTTAGTACTTGTATTATGTAACACTCACTTATTTTCCTAATTCATACAGTGGCGGAGCCAGGATTTTCAACTTGGGGGGACAAAATGCTTAACTTACGAAAAACTTAACAAAAAAAAAAAACAAAAATTGTCGAAGATCGGGTTGTTTAGTTGCCTTTGATTTGGTACATTACTATTACTTGAACCACCCATTTCCATACTATTTTCTTGACTTTGAGGGGAGCTAAATGAAGGTGAGTTATTGGACTCATTTTCATTGGACTCATTTTCATTGAGTTTCGTTCTTTTAAACAAGAATTGTCGAAGATCGGGTTGTTTAGTTGCCTTTGATTTGTTTGAATTTGGTGAATCGTTTGACATTTCCTAATTAAATCGAAAATTATATATCAATTTCCACAAGACCACAATCCACATCATTACATAATAACAAAACCTAAGAGGCTAAGATTTTAAATTTCTAATTCAACTACACATTTCAATAATTTACAATAATTAATAAATTTAAATTCACATTTCACAAAAACAACCAAAAACTCTAACAGGGGAAACAATCAAACAAATATAAATCAATAATCATTTATCAATTCAAATTATTCAATAATCAATACCCACGATTCCATAAGCAGCTCTCCATTTCTACCCCTTATTTCAATCTCATCATATTATTATAGCTAAGAAATCAAATATACTTTCTTCATTTTAATACTCAGAAAAATTAATCAAACAAGTAAAATCAGCAACATTTTAAACCAAAACTAAGACAATCAACTTATATAATATAAACACAGTAATTGAATGCTCATCATCAATGACTAAAACCCACAAAAAATAACCATCATTGAAACTCTTAATCAAACCAAACACATTAATAATCACCCATATTGTTCATATTAAGAAGAAAAAAAAAAAACCAATCTTTAAACCCAACATTAATCAGATCAATCAATACAGAAACCAACAGAGAATTCTAAAACAAACCCAGAAACCAAATTAGCAAAGACAAGAAGGGTTACCTTCAAATTATTGAAATTCCTGATTAAGACTGAATTGGATTATAAAAAAGCCGGCAATATGAAGCTAAATAGAATAAAAAGGAGATTAACCCAGAAATCAAAATTAAATTTCAGCTGGAGTGACAAGGCCACAAATGACAAATTCACAATAAAAATATAAACAATTAAACATTTAAACAAGTAATAAAAATATGAAATTCAGAATTTCAGATTTACTGTAAATTTAAACAATTAAACATTTAAACAACAAAACAAGTAATCAATTATTCAATTAATCATACATTCATTGATTCATACCTCCATTGAAATGCATATGACGAACAGACGAAGTGTCGATCGAAGTCACGCTGTCACGCTGTCACGAAGACACGAAGTCACGATTCACGAAGGACGAAGGCTCAAGGGCTGAAGGGCGGCTGTTGAACCTCGTCACTGCTGCGAAACTGCCGGCGAACGGTGGACGAACAGACGGCTAGGCGAACAGACGAAGTCACGAACACACGAAGTCACGAAGGAGGAAGGACGAAGGCTCAAGGGCGGCTGTTGAACCTCGTCACTGCTAGCCGTCTGTTCGTCCACCGTTCGCCGGCAGTTCGCAGCAGTCACGAACACACGAAGTCACGAAGGAGGAAGGACGAAGGCTCAAGGGCGGCTGTTGAACCTCGTCACTGCTGCGAAGTGCGAACTGCCGGCGAACGGACGAAGACTGCCGGCGAAGTGGCGAACGGACGAAGGCGAGGGCGATTGGGCGAATCGAAGAGAGAGAAATTGAAAATTGAAAAAACTTAGGGTTTGGCTTTGGCTGGCTGGAAAATGTCGCAACGCAACTTGTAATTGCATTTTTTTATTTTTTATTTTTTTTTTTTTTTTAAATTTTTTTTTTTTTTAATTTTTTTTTTTGAAAATGGGGGGACAAGTGTCCCCACTCGTCCCCTTCTAGCTCCGCCCCTGAATTCATATACTATTATTGCAATCCATATACTGTTGTACAATTTTTGACACGGATATTTTTTCATATGTACTGCACCTCCTTCGTTTTTAGTACTTGTATTATGTAACACTCGCTTATTTTCCTAATTCATATTCTATTATTGCAATTCATATACTGTTATACAAATTTTTGACACGGTTATTGTATTCATATGTACTCCACCTCCTTCGTTTTTTAGTACTTGTTTTATATAACACTCACTTATTTTTCTAATTCATATACTATTATTGCAATTCATGTACTGTTATACAAATTTTTGACACGGTTATTGTGTTCATATATACTGCACCTCCTTCGTTTTTTAGCACTTGTATTATGTAACACTCACTTATATTCCTAAATCATTTAACAAAAGTGGATTTTAAATGATTTAATACGTAGAAAATGTGGCTGAAAGATTTAATCAAGTAAGCGATGAATACATTAACAACAATGGTATTAATTAAGTTGGCTATGTTCGCAATTATTGTAACATATTCATTTAAAGAAATATTGCAAGCATTTAAAAACAAAAGAAGTACCAATTGGTTGTAGGTATAGTGGTGATTAAGAGTGATGACCTGGATTATGGAGGGGACTTAGGGGTGCTTATTGAGTTGAGAAGCTTGGAGCAACCCGAACTCGACTCACTCAAATTAAGTCAAAACTTGACTGGAGAGTCGAGATGTTAACGAGCACGAGTTGAGCAAACTCTAACTTGACTCAATAATATAAGCTCGTGAGCAACTCGATAATACTCCCTCCGTCCCCAAATGATAGTCCCTTATGGGCAAAAATCACGGGAATTAAGAAACTTAAATAAAAGTAGTAAAATTACATTGAAAAGATAAATTTACATTGGGTATGTAAAATAGTAGAGAGAGAAAGTAATAAAAGTACATTGAAAAACAAAATTTACATGGGAAAGTTAAATTTGCACAAATATTGTTGTAATTGGAGGAAATTTTGATAAAAAATTGATATTAATGGTACTTGAAAAAAGCAAATGGGACTATCAATTTGGGACTAAAAATAGGCCATAAGGGAGTATCAATTTGGGACTAAAAGTACATTGAAAAACAAAATTTACATGGGAAAGTTAAATTTCACCAATTGAGTCGAAATGTTAGGAAGTATATTCGATTGTTATCTAACTATCTAGGGCGTATGCTAGCAAGATCCTTATAAAAATTGGATTATTATTAATAAATAGTTGTAATTTTACAATATCATTCCTAAAAAGAAAAAGAAAAATTACAATGCTTTTATAACTAGGATTACAATCAAGCCACAATATGTGCCAGCGGCAGCTCCTTTCTTCCGCGACATCCAACTTGTCCTTAAACATCACACAATTCATCATAGCATTGCATAAGCAATCCAAGATATTAAAAAAAAAATTATAACTACCAACTAATACAATGTGCTACATAGCCAATCAAATTAATCCATACCAAGAATCTGAATCAAAATATCCTTCTATTTGGATCAATATATAAAAGACTTATGTTTAATTCAAGGTTCCTAGCAATTGAGGAAAGTGGGTAATTCACTCAGTTACTATAAGTGAAGCAAAATCGAACACCTTCCACCTACACAAAGTATTCAAATACAACAGATTAATCAAAATATGCACATAATTATTATATCAGCATATAAAGTGTTGATTTTTTTTTTTTTAAGCAAGCAAGCAACGATTTTATTAGCATAAATCAATTTCCGCCAAATTTATTAAACTTTAGGGAAAAGAAGACATACAAAATTGCTCTTAAGAGTTAGAAGTATCCAAGGCCAACGAGCAGCACCTTGGTGTTTGCCTTTGATCGCATTCACAACACTCAAAGCATCACTTTCGAGTATCACGTTGCTATAGCCAAATCTCCTCGCCAATTGCACACCATAAGCCACTGCCCTGACTCAGCCATTTTGGGAGTCTACTTCAAATCAATGCTCTTGATAGCAGCAAGAAGAATACCACCAGCAACATCTCTAACAACCACACCATAACTAGCACTCACCCCCTCCAAAATATGGGCATCAACATTAACCTTAACAGCAGGGGCAGGTTAATGTTGATGACACATAGTCAGTGCACAACTTGACAAAGCCAGTCGCTACACACACCGGGTCCTCCACTCCACAAGCTTTTTATACTAACCATAACCCAGCAGCATCAAGCACAGAAAGAAATTTAAGTAATACTTGTATATCATAGTGTTTTTTTTAAGGAAATATCAGAGTATTCGGAATCAAAAATTGAAATTTAGTTCTTCAATAAATTCCAGCAACAAACATTGGTAGCTTGGAATTAAGAACTTATATATAATTCACAGGGTTTCTACAATTGATTATGATTAAAAAGAAGTCTGACAAATCCACTAACAAAATTCAACATCATTATCATAATCATATTCTTTAATTTCAGCAAAGATTAATTTCATAAACAATATTTCATACAAAAAAAAGTCAAATCATTCAAAGATCGAGAAAAACCTTTTTCCCGGCAACCTCGACCACCTCAGCGGCCTCGACTCGGCGCCCTTCCACCTCTTCTTCCTCCACCTCGACCGGGACCTTATTAAAGCAAAATTGCAAAACCCTTAATACTTAAATTTGCATAAACAGTTAATACTTAAATGTTATCCAAAATCCGTAAAATGAAAACCCTTTCTATACACTATATCAAAATCCCTAGATTGAAAACCATAAGTTGAATTTACTTTCGAAATCCCTAAATTGAAAACCCTAGAATGTATACCCTCTTAATATCCCAAAATTAAATACACTGATTTCGTATAGTAGCATTACCTGACATTAGCAAAGTTTGAGTTACCAATCACAAATTCACAATTTGGTAGCTTCACCGGGTTTTTGAGCAGCGTTACCACTCACAATGTTTCGAAATTGAGAGCGTTTTCCGGAGCGTTTTGGAAGAGAGAGAAACTAAATATTTACAGCTGGTAACTTTTAATGATTACTGTCCTAATATATGTCAAATGACGATTATACCCCTAGGTATTGGACATGAGAGTCCATACCTGGTAGTGGTCCATCATG